GCCGTTTATGCCGTAAATTTTCGACATTCGCAAGGGAATCAAAACCTACATAGTACTTCCCGTGAACTCAGAATCTTGAAATTTGGTACGAAGCAACATTTTATAGATATAGATATATATACAGATAAAAAAGCATAAATTTTTAGTTACATCATATAATAAAAATATTTTTAATAATTTTAAACTTATATACCTACAGATTTGTTCGGAACCCTCGGTGCGCGAGTCCGACTCTCACTTTGCCGGTTTTTTTTGCGAAAGAGGGTGGTAAGCGCGCAGCGCTCAGCCAGATGTACTGTAATGCAAGGTCAACCGTGAATATCTGTGAATACTTCCTTGAATTTTGAATAATTTGTATTATTTATCAGTTAATATTTATTTATTATTTCAGAGAGATGGTATAATAAGTTGTTGCATTATAACTTTTAGGATCATTACATGTCTAACCGGTATCGGCATAGAAATAGTACAATTATAAATTCATATTTTTTTACAAAGTCATTATAAAGATTAGTTGTCAATAAAATAATATTATGTTAATATTATAATAATAATTACAGCACCTAATAACAAATTATGAAGTATTACTTTATAATATAGTTTCAATCATTCTGAATAGTTATTACATACATTTGAAATTAGTAAAACATTGTCATTTTTGATATTAACAGCTGATTATTTTAACATTAATATGTCCATCTCTATTGTGACTTGTTCAAAGCAAAGAATATGTTCAATAATTCAAAAGCGATTCTCAATAGAGTTTGACAATCGCACTGTAGACGAGGTTTACGCTTGGGAAAAAGTACTTATATTACCCCTTACATCGCAACTTAAATGTATTCGTCGTAAGAAATTTCAAATTTCGTTTGTTAAAAGCTCATGAAATTTTTTCACCATTTATACGAATAAGGAAACTTCATACGTATTTTCCTATTAACATTTTCTAAATAAACAACATAAAGAAGAAGGAATATTAAAATTAAAATTCTGTACTGTTAAATACTGTTCATTTTATATCAACTAGAATGACTTTTTTTATAAATCAATAAAAAAATCAAACATAACCTCATAATATCTCATAAAATATTTCGTTCTGTTTTTTTTTTCACAATAGAATATTCTCCTGGATTGAGGACGTGTTTTAAATATAAATTGTACGTGGACAAACATCCAGACTCGTAACAATTAGTACAAACATACGAACGCTTAGCTACGAGACTACAGTTTTAATTTATGTGGCTCTCGTTTAAGCCTGCTTTCGTATTTATAAATAAAGCAATGCGTGAAAATGATTGATATGTTTTAATATGATTTTGTTATAAATGTGAAGTTGTTGGAAACCGATAGGATTTTTTTGCTCGTTTTCAATGAGAACACATTCATCACGGCTGTCACAACCAATGTCGTCTAATACGTAAAGCTTAGGAGTGGAAAATGAAAGTACCTATAACAGTATAATTGAATTTAATATTATTTCTACGCGTATGTTAAAGCAAAATAACAGCGACTTATCAAGATTCAGATTTTATCTTATGACAGCAATTTCACCCGCTTAGAATCTATGAATATAGAGTAGTATTATTTATTGTGTTCAATTTATATGAATACAAAATAAGTAAGCAAAACTAAAGAAGAACTAGCACGAAGAGTATCTAACCATGAGAATGATATCACAATTAAGTACATCAGAGGAATACCCAAAATCGTGAAATTGGAATGAAAAAACGACAAGAGCTCCCCTACCAACATCCATTAAATAATCAAGATATAGAAGATATTACATACCAAGTAGTTGATTGTTATCAAAACGTCACCTCTAATAAATCTAACCTTAATTTCTTTTATGCTAATGCCAGAAGTATTTGTAAACCAGGTAAATTTGATGAACTCATGTGCATTATCGAAGCTTTTAATAAAACCATACATATAATATTACTGACTGAGACCTGGATAAGATCAGATGACCAAGTGGCACGTTTTCAAATAACGAACTATTCACACTACTACAACAGTAGTGTAGTTGTACCACTTCTAGACCACCTGAGTCAGACGTGGTTCAACGACGTTCGTCGACGCCCGATCCTAAAAAAAAAAAAAAAAAAAAAAAAAAAAAAAAAAAAAAAAAAAAAAATGATGACATCCGATCGAATGTTGTAAGTAGTGTAGTTGTACCACTTCTAAACCACCTGAGTCAGACGTGGTTCAACGACGTTCGTCGACGCCCGATCCTAAAAAAAAAAAAAAAGGTTTTGGCATGCTCTGATCACGAATCCGCGGTCCATTTTTGTGTAGAATGCACGGTTCCGGAGATGTGTAGATCAATTAGCTAATATCTAATTGATATCCGGTAAGGGCCTCCACCGTCATTAGCGTCCCATTGTTGTTCCTATTTCTATTGTTCTATTGTTCCTTAATCACCTTCATTGCAGCGTGTGCGTCGACTATATCAGTGCTATTGTTTATTATAATTCTTTGTTTATACAACGCTTATCTGAATCATCAATAAAACACATTACATAATTTTGTTACAATTTTTATTTATAAAATACAAAATCTTATTAATTATTATCTATAAAAAGGAGCGAAACATCTCATCCACTAAAATATCGTTGTACAATGTGTTCCTTGTAAATATACTCGTAAAACTATGTATTGAACATCCTTGAAACTTATATAGTAAATACATTAAGCAATATTCGCCACAAACTGAAGTCCACTCATTCTGAATCCTATCAACATTCCAGTTCCATCTTTTACAATTCCTTTTTAAAAACTCTAGATGATATCGTACAGGTGATCGTCCATATGAATCAAAATATTGACCGACGTCATTCGTATCGATATATAAAGCTACCCAATGTGACCCTGGTTTATCATCTGTATCCAAATTACATATTATATACGTTGGTACGTGGGTATACATAGGCAGTCTATTAGCTGCATAAACATTATTTTCTAGACTGGGGTGAATCTTTTTCAGATGTTGTTGTACATCTAGTGTATCCATGATATTACTGCTATTAGTAGATTATTACAGTACCTAGCTACTCAATGAATAACATAGGAATGGTCAATTATAGTGATTTCTACATATTAAATTGCATTTTTGTGATATACAAATCGTACTTGAGTCATTGATCACCAAACAAAACACAATACGAAGAAATGTTGAGATAGGCAACGGAAATGTGAGATAAACTGATATGTTTCTAAATATTAAATTGCATTTTTGTGTTATACATATCGTACTTGAGTCATTGATCACCAAACAAAACACAATACGAAGAAATGTTGAGATAGGCAACGGAAATGTGAGATAAACTGGTTGACGCATAAAGTAATTATCAACTCATTACGGAAATACTTTAGATTAGAATTTTTACGTACTGGTGGTATATAAGACCAACAAACGCAGTCATCGAGTTAGTGTACGGTCGTTTGGCTACAGTGGATCTATCAATAGTACATTTGTGTTACTTCAATACACCAAAGGCTATGGATGTAAGTGTTTATTCTATTGACTAAATTACTTTTTTTCTGTTATTTTCATGTGTGTGTATTATTTTATTTAAATATTGTGTATGTATATGATTAAGCCGTGGTAACTCAGATGGTTAGCGCTAGCTGTAAATTTCACAGTACGCGACCCGGGTTCGATCCCCGCCAGCACCAATTAAATTGTTAATAGCAATTTTAAGTGCTTATTACCACGTGCTTGGTGGTGAAGGAAAACATCGTGAGGAAACCTGCATGTCTGAGAAAATTTCGAAGGCATGTGAAGTTCGCCAACACACATTGAGGGAGCGCGGCGGACATTTCCTTGCTCTAAAACCCTCTCAGAAATGAAAGGAGGCCTATGTTCAGCAGTGGACTTTAATAGGCTGTAACTTTAACTTTTTTAACTTTTATGATTAAGTGTTAACAAATTGATATTAACATGATAACTGTGTTGTTGCAGAAATCATTGAGCTTCGATGAAGATACCTATAAACAGTATTACTACTCGCCACTCTCCCCTCAAGAAGAGAGTGATAACCTCGTCATTAATAATAACACATGCGATGGTGGAAAAAGAAAATCGCAATCGATTGATCATTTTTTTGAAGCTGAATCAAAAATAAAAAAGAGGAAGCTGTTATCATCAACCGTAGCACGAGCCGCTAGAGATGGTGTATCATACATTTCTACTAATTCTGACGACGGAGACCAAGCGACGCATCTCATCAAAATTGAAATGTACGATATGAAGAAGCTATCCAAGATTCCAACTACTGATCATTGGAAACATGCTTCCACTAGAATTAAATATTACGTAAAGACTAATAAGGATAGCATCTACGACAACACAAACGCCCTCGTATACAATATAACAAAGACAATAGCAGAAAGTGAAAAAGTTAAAAAATACTTTTTTAACAATGACAGTCATTAGCTGATCATTAGTGAATGTGATTCTGTTTACTTCAATTACAGGAAGACAAGAGCGGAAGGAAGAGATGAGTGTGGCATACGTGTACAAAACACATCATTGAATAACAAAACTACAACACTGAGTGGAGAAGAAAACGAGAAGAGTATGCAGTACTCAAGAGCTGAATATCCATTCTTCAGTTCAAAATCTAGCCGTTTGCTTAGTTTCGAAAACTGGCCTCTAGTTATGCGACAGAAACCTGAAGATCTTGCAGAAGCTGGTTTCTTTTATACTGGCCATGCAGACGGGACCAAGTGTTTCCATTGTGGTGGTGGTTTAAAAGATTGGGAAGATGATGATGATCCTTGGCAGCAGCATGTTCAGTGGTTTAGTCAGTGTGCTTATGTAAAATTTCAACTCGAACAGTGTTTTGTATTAGATTAAATAGAAGATTTATAAAGAAATAAAAAAAATATATTGCATACAATTTGTTTTATTTAATTTTATAACGTTTCACATAGTTACATACACACAAAATGCATTACACATAACACATAAAATCTAACACACAACACATATTATAACCTTAACTACTATAGTCTACAGTAACATTTCTGTTTTTATCTATCTCAATAATATTATCAAACTCAGCATAAACTATACAGTTAATTGTTTGTATTAATGAGGATTCAAATCGTACTTCTATTCTTACACTACCATGCTTTATGAGATTCCAATGAGTTGATGAGTTAGCTGATAAATCAGGAGTTAAGTCAAATGCTAATAGACAGTAACCTTTGCCATACTGTTCACAAGAGATTCCATTTCCTTCATTAAGAAAGTGAATACCAGTTCCCGAGAATAGAGTATGATATGCTGATGTAAATATGCTATTATTAAAAGATGGTTGCAAAGCTTTTGAAGGTATTTGTTGACCATCAATATATAAGCTGAAAGAATTAATACCATAGTTTTCAAAGTTAAATGGATTTTTAGTAAGGGAACCATTAAATGCAGAATTGTTCACAAATCCAATTATACATCTTTTCGGTACCTGTCCTAAAAATATATTATCAAGAGTTTTTCCTTGAACACCCGAAGGAATTGTTAAAACTTTTACTTCAGCTCGAGTAATAGGATATTTAGCAGTGGTAGAAGCTAAAACTTTTTGATGTGCGAGTAATACACTTGGATTAATTCGTGCTCGTCGAACAATAAGAGTTGCGTCCGTAATGCAAACTTTAAACTTTACATCGTTTGACCCAACAATTAAATTAAAACTCTCTCTTGATCGAACCAATTTAACACTCATTTCAACACCATTAATTAAAAATTTATCTTGGTTAAAAATGTCACCGTGAAGATGACCAATCATTTCTATTTCCTTACTTTCACTAATCAATTCCTGTCTTTTAACAAATCCTATGTTTTTACCATCTGTAGAATCCATTTTTCCTCCTGTATCCTCATACCAAAGAGTACAAGTAAGATGAGATTGTTTAGCAGCAGGGGCATAGTTTAAAAGGGTTTCCATGTATGCTCGATATGCATAGGTATTATTAGGTGGTGATACAAGTTTTTGGTTTAAATAAACATCAAGTTGACTAAAAAGTGAATGCAGCCAATTATTTACAGGTGCTACTATTGTAGTAGATACCAAGTTAGTTGAATCTTGATTTAATACTTTTGCCTTTATGTGGAGTAATGTATGAGACAAATCTATGTAGTCATCGCCGGTCCCAGGAACTTGAAACTCGATAGGTCCATCATCACCAAGAGATGAAATTGGTTTATAATGAATCCACAATCCATTTTCAATGCTAGTTTGTGTAGACGGTAGTGCAAACAAATCCAATTCTGACTTAACGCACTCGCAAGAATGATTATGAAGGAAAGACATATTTAGTTTGAAAATATATCTTTGATATTTTTTGGTTTTAGACTAAGTTTTTTCGCAGCTTTCACTTTAGCAGTTAATGGTGGAATGAACGATGTCAATCGTTTTCTTTTAGTTTTATACCCAGATCCAGTCATGTTAAATTGATCAATTTTCTCATCAGCCTTTCGTTTTAAATTCGTACTAACTTGCTTTAGACGATCTTTTATTGAGGCTTCCATAGGACGGGCTTGAACCATATCCGATAAAAGTCCTACTCCAGCGCTTAATGCCTCCTTACCAATCACTCGAGCACCACTTGAAAGTAAAGGTAAAACTGATCTGAATAACCCCCCTAAGAAGCTCCCAATACCATGACCGCGTTGATATGGTGAACCCTTATAAATTACTCCAACTCCTGATCCAGCTTGATGTGTATAATAATTTTCATATGGACATTTATGATGATCACGAAGAGAATTCATTATTATAATTTTCGGAAATGTAGTTTAATACACACGGTTCCAAACTGGAATGGTATTTTTTGTCCTGTACTCGATCTTATAACTATTTCCAACGTATCGAACTCTCTTCGCATAACAGGTAAGTAGTGAGGTTGAGAGAAAACGTGCATTTTATTTGCACCATAAATGTATTTTGTAGGATCTAATGAAATGACTCTTAATAAAGGAGTCATAACATCACCCACAATCTGAGGATCGATAATGTCGCAATATAGAAATAGTTGAGATGGTAACCCTAAGTGTAAATTAGCAGGACACTTTCCAAAATTTCTCTCTAGGAGATTTTTATTTGGTTCATAACCTAGCTGTAAACTTAATTTGGGTGATAATGTTACGGATGTTATATTTTTATCCAATACCGAAATAGACACAAATTTTGTTATTTCATCATAGCGAAATTTCAAGTTCTCTCCGATACCATTTAACACTCTTAAAATATGCTCAACGTTATCATAGTTGGTAGCTGGAATATGTTTTTTGTAGTACACTGTGGATGGCTTATCTTCATTAGGCATTAACATAGATTTTGTAATGTATATAACATTTTCATGGTCTTGAACAGTAAACATGGTACATGGATATTGAAACTCGACAACTCCAACCGACCATTCACCTTCTAATTTTATAGCTTTTGGTAATTTCGTTGAAAAATTTGTGGTCTTGTTATCAGGAAAGTATTCCATTGAACTATTGCTGAGCAAAGTTAAATAGAAACTTTCTTTATTCATATTTCTTTTAAACTAGAAGCTAAAATCCAACTGTTAAATTTATCTGGATAACCTTTCCACTTCACTAATACTTCTTTTCTGTTACTTGAATAACGAGTGTCAATTATTTTATCTATTTTATGTTGTGAGGTGGGGTTGTAAGTGATTTTCTGTAATTCTCTTTCATAAAAAGTACCAATTATTGGTTCATTTTGTAAATCTGTTATTGTATAAACAACCCATGGAGATCTATCAATTATTGAAGATATAATAAATATTTCATCACTCCAATTTGATTCATATCCTTTTTGGAATACATGTTTATATTTAGTTATTCGAACATAATCACCCACATTGAAATTTGGTTTAGGATTTTCTAAAGAAAGTTTTTTTGACCGTCTATCATAAAGATTAGTCCAAACTGTCATAATATTGTTGGAATTTACATCACATGGGCACATCTTAATACTAGACTGAAAGCTGTGATTATAAGAGTATATTAAATCTTGTAAAACATCTATATATCTATAAGTATTATTATGAGTGAAATAACGCCACATTTTCATTTTTAGTGTTCTTTGAAATCGTTCAACAATACTGGCCTTAATGTCAGGATTGTTAGTGGTATAGTAATTAATCTTTTTGGATTTAAAGTATTTTTGTACATCTTTTGAAACAAATTCTGTACCTTTATCGGATTGTATGTGAGTAGGTGTTAAATTACTTTCAGTAAATATACTTTCAAAACATTCTTTAGTTGTTTCTGAGTTTTTCTTTTTCATTGGTCTTGCAAAAGCATATTTACTAAATACATCAATAATACAAAGTATATACTTGAAACCATCATTATATTGAGAATAAGTTCGCATATCACTTAAATCAGCTTGCCACAGTTCATTAATATTTGATAGAATGTACCTATTACGCGGGAATTTTTTTCGAATGGGTTTATGTAATGTGTATGTTTCTTGTGATTTTAACCATTCCTTTACTTGCTTTTTATTCATTTTACCCTTCATGGCTTTTGATAATTTATCAATACTACCAAAACCAGCGGGATTAGATGGATCATAATAAATCCTGTTAATTTCTTCTAGTACGGAGTCCATTTTTCCCACTCAAGTCCTTTACGTATTTTAGTTGTAGACTTTTTATCTCTACTGCACGGTGTAGAAAACTCTTGAACTTCAATCTCAGAGGGTTTGTTCAGATCTTTTGCTTGAAGTTGGTTAATAAACTCACATCTCCTTGGATTTCCAATATAAGTAAGTGGTACTTTAATATCTTTTAATGCTTCAGCAAATCTAACCCACCCTACCGGATCACTTCTTTTTAGGGGTCTTAGTGAATCATTTATTAAATCAACAATATTACTTCCAGGAATTTTTTCACTATCAATTATGACTGTACCTTCGTTATCCCAATGTATTTTACTTTTACTTGTTTCAACTAAGTTTAATAATAACTGCCCTTTTTTATGATAAGTTTTTGGTATTAAACTGAGTATTTGAGTTGGTGTGTAAAGTGGATTTTCATCATTTTCTTTACTTTTAATGGATCGATTCTCCTCAAGCAAAGATTCAATATCAACTGAAGTTTTTGGATCTCTATCTTTATTTTTAAAACCAATTTTTGACTCATTTGAATCTTCATTAGATGTATCAGAATAAATTGGTAATTTGAGTGGTTGACGATCCTCTTCGGTAAAATGAAGGTATCTTTGCAGTGTTTGTAAATATAATATCCATTTCTTTCGGTCTTCCGTCTTACTATTCATAATATTTTGCATTTCAATATCTAATCGAGATAAATTACTATTAACCTTATTTTCTTGTTTTAATTTTTCAATCAATCCAGGTTCGATAAGTATCATTTTCTTTGCATTTTCCATGTTAACTGGCTAGTCCACTCACTAATCCACTCAATATTGCACCTAATATTGTTGGTAAGAAAGCCCCTCCTTTTTGTATAATTATATTTTTTCTTAGTTTATGTTTACACTTACGTACTAGTTTACGGAGTATGTTTTTATGTTTATTCAATTTTTGTTTATCCTGATCTTTAAGAGGTACTTTTCCTTGTAAAACGTTATGAATACACTCACAAATACAGTTAATTTCTTCTTCATCACACGTTTTAAGTAATGCTCTTTGATATTTTGGTTTAAGCGTATGCAAAGCGGTTAGCAAATGTTTATACGTTGTGAGTCGACGATGCATCATTTAGCAATGATTTCAATTGTTTGATTCTTGGTGTATTTAAACTCTTTTGTGGGGACGTAGACTGTACAGAAACCATTAAATGGAAAGACATTTGTCTTGATACGACAAAAATCATTGGTATTCTGTTTTAAATCTACCATTAAATATCCATGCGCCTCTAGAGTTGCATCCCTGTAGGCATTTTCAATGAATTTTGGGTTATCTGGTGATACTTGTCTTGCTAAATATCTTATTTGAGTTTTATCTCGAGGGTTTTTAAAATATATTATATAACTTGAGTTTAAAGATATGTCTCTTTGTCCTTTACCCTGATGAAATAAATTTTGTGTTAGATAAAATACACTAAGATTCCTGTGATGACTACCTTTTGTAAATATATCCACAATTCTTCCATCGGACTCTCTCATTAGATCATCAATAATAACAAGATGTGGGTTTTCACCATCAAACATATTAAGATTTGGAATTCCTTGATGATAGTTAACATTTGGTAAATTATATAATGGTTGCATTTCATCAAAGCACCATGTGATCTGATTAAAATCACAATTACATATTTCTGTAACTGATTTTATGAAATTTGTTACAAAATTTGACTTCCCACACCCACTTGGTCCTGCCACAATAGCAGTGAACGGATGGATAAAGTGAAACATAACACACGTCTAAAGTTCAAAGGGGTGAAATAAAAAATGAAAGTGTTGGTGTAAACAATTAATATATATTCCAAAAATTATATAAAACAGAATTATCTGTATACTATTTCTAACACAATTAGTACATCATAATTTTACAATTAACTCAACCTCAAATAAATAGAAACAACAATTAGTACATCATAATTTTACAATTAACTCAACCTCAAATAAATAGAAACAACAATTAGTACATCATAATTTTACAATTAACTCAACCTCAAATAAATAGAAACAACAATTAACTTAAATTATTTACAATAAAACAATGTTTAAATATGTAATAAACTACGTCATATTATAGTATTATCATAATTTTACAATCAATATAAATTTTTCTTAAACGCAGACATAAAAGTAAAAACTATCAACACTTAACGCAGTTTATAATGGCCCCAAGCTAATGTTTCGATATTATTATCTAAAATATGTCTCTTTGTGTCATTATATGATAAACCTATCTTATTTAATTTTTGTGTGAAAATTGTGTGTTTAATTGATTTAAATCTAAGCATGCTATAATATTGCACTTTTTTATTAAATAGAGAAGACTTATAACTATTCATTGTCATCTTTTTAGTGATACATTTATTTACCCCTTTTGCCTTGGCTATAGTCTTATTCTCTAAGTTAAAAGCGTACATTTTGGATCGTAAACCCACAAATTCTTTCATGATTTTACCATTATTTTCATCTTTAAAAAAACCTAATTTCTTTTTATTTAATTTTGGATATTCAAAAATATTATTTGTATCATAATCTGAGGTATCAAAGTATGATGAAAGGTCAGGTTTTATATCAGTGTAAAAATCATTTGTAAATATATGATATATTAAACTATCCGTATCTGTATACAATAATTTGATTTTACTAAACTTTTTAATCATATAGTTATAATGAAAATCATACATTAATGTTTTTGAAATATCTAAAATGCAAAACCCTAAATAAATTGGTTTGTTATATATTAACTTCGTTTTTCGCAACTGAACCGCAACTAGGTTTTCCGAAAATATTGAAAGGCTATGAAATTGTGGTTTAGCGATTAGATCTTGAGCACCTAAAGCTTTACTCTGGTTCTCCCAGTGCGTAACTAATTTTATGTTAACCCTTTTTTCAATATTCTCCATAGTCTTACCGAAGACTGAATTATTCATTAATTTATAAAAATCTTTTTCGAAATCTGATTTTGCTAAAGTTCTTAATTTTGTGTTTAGATCTATGTACATCTTCAACCAGGGAGACTGTTTAAATTTTAAAACTCTATGAATTTTAGTTAATTTAACCCCCATTTCTATGCACTGCTTTAAATTTCTGTAATGAATTACATATTTATCTTTATTATTTAAAATTGGGACTAGTTTATTCTCATTAATATTGCCTACACAAATGTTTTCTGGACATAAAGGAAAGTCCGAATGTAAATCATGAAGTTCATCTGGATATTCCAAATCAACTTCTAAAATAAAACCGAAGTCTGATGTCTTAGACACATTAAATTCTGTATTTGGATTTACCCATTCGAATCCACCAGTAGGAAGATATTGAGACATAGCCCAACCATATAAATTGTTGGCATCAAAATATGTGATATATGAATTTGGTTTCCCTGTATCATAATCCTCCATGTATTTGTTATTAGCTCTAGCATAACGATTACTACATTGAGATACACCACCTCTGATACCTGATCTAATAAATGCAATTTTCTCATAATCTGTTAAAAGTTCTAATTCTATTTTTGTATATTTTAACATTGCATCCCAACTTAAACCGGGTGCTGTGTAATAATGGGCAGGGTCTAAATCATATGTATTAATACATAACTTTCTAAAGTTTTCAAATACATCGGATAAAAGTAAAACGTCTGTTTTTAAATATAGGTTTGAATAATCTAGCATATTACAACACCCAAAATGTTCCCAAACATCTTTAGCATGATTGTAATCATCATTTGAAATATGTGAATCTGTGAGTGAACTATAAAAACATTTTTGTTCAGGGAGCGATGTTAGACTTAAACTATCATATTTAGTCATAAGTTCATATGGATAAACACCTTTCCGTTTTAAACGAAAGAAATCTTCATCATTAGGGTAATTTCTACGTAATTCTTGAAATTGATCATTACTGAGATTTTTGGCCAATTCTTCTAATTTACACGATAAAAACTTAAATGAATCTAAGAATCTCAATATAATTTCGTGGTTATTCACTTTTAATTTTTTGGAAAAGGATATATATTTTTCTTTATTTTGAGGGATAACTTCGACTTCACCATCACAAAAGTTTAACGCGTGAACAATAAAATGAGCATCATAGTAACTAAGGTTGTGTAAAAATATTGGTATATAACTAGGTGTTCTGATCTTCGAACAACATGATTCATGAGCAACACCTATAAAACTACCAGTGTACCAATCAAAATCATAAAAATGTTTTGCCAACTCAGTTTCACAAATATGACAAATGGTTGCATTTGAAATTTGGTTTTGTCTTCATTTGTTAGCAGAAGTGGTGGATATTTTTGAAGTCTATTTATTTCTTTTAGATTATTAGATAAACTTTCCATAAACACTTGTGCACAGTTGGGTCCGCAATATGTTACATATTTTGATAATTTATCATCATATGAACATTTTATATAATATCCAAAACTATGTACTTCATGTTTCTGAATATTATGAGTGAAAGGTTTGGAAGGATCGTTAGAACATGATTCTATTGGTTTTAAAAATGCTTCAAAATCAGCATAAACTACGAATGGTATCTTTAACTTTTTTTCATAACTATCAAATTTAATTTTATCATTTGAAATAGGTTGACCAAACCAATTCTTTTTTTTTAAAGTTTCACTGTTTGGTAATACTGTACAAATGTGAGCACAATCGTATTGTTCATGGTTATTTAACCTTTCCTGAGATGGAAAACGAAGTAGACATGCTTCACAAATGTACATGATGTGACCGTCTTTTGAAATTTGTTTACTAACTAACCGCGATAAATTTTTTATATAGCAATAATGATTTTTTGTATCCTTGGAAAAAAATAATAAATTGATATGTCTATCTTTACGACACTTTGTTAAAAATAATGGACCTACTATAGAATTACATCGTTTTTCTTTATTATATTCTAACCCAAAAACATTAATACTAATATCATTTAATTTCTCTACTTTTGCTATGTCAGAAATTTTAACCGGAAAGGAAATACCATCAAATTTAAGTTTATTTGCATGTTTAACGTACGATGATACCCGATCGGTGTGTTTGTTTACAGGATATAACGCCGAGAGTAACGCCCATTTAAAACAAAAATAATCCTTGTTTTTTACATTTATAACAGCCTTTTTTAATTTTATGTCACGAGGAAGATCTATGTATGAAGTACCGCGTAGGGGGTTAAATTTATTAACATTCATGTCTATAGATTTTATGTTTTTTAGACTCCATCCACTATCTTTTTTTTCGAAAGCACTAATTTTAGTAGTAATTGTATCATTTAAAGATGAAAGAAAAATATTTAAGTCATCTCCTTGACAAATAATATAGTTAAGCGTTTGAAAATCGAACGTATCATGAATATCTTTAGTTTGTTGAACAAAATCAGCATGCAATATGAAGTTTACCTTAAAAATTATGTGTTGATGAATACACTCTTGTAATAAAAATAAAATATCATCTTTAATAGAATTTAAAAATAGTTCAGGAGTTTCAAAATTTACCCATGTCGAACGATCTACTCTACTCTTGATTTTATAAGTTAAAATCCTATTTCCAAAAGCAGATTCAATAACACTAACGTTTGATAAAGAATTATGTGAATTTAAAAGATTATTTTTATGAACATTACTTTTAAAATGATTAGCTAAATACCGTTTCTTGATAAATATATGGCACGTTGGACATTCCACTTGATCATCGTTACTGATACTGTTCCCTGCAGAGGTATGCGCTTCTGCTTCCGTTGTTGGTTTTTTGATGATCTTGGATTCTTTGCTGCACGTTCGCTTCGTTCCTCTTCCAAGTTGTAGTGGTTGACTGCTAAAATGTTTAAATTTATTAAAAACTGTATAAGACAATATGTAAATTATGATCGAAATGAATGTTTATTTTACATACTTAAACTGTGTTTCAACCATCGCACAGTGATGATACAACTCATCATCGTATGACGAATCGAACAGTTGACCCCTCTCCATTTCTTCACAAACTTTAGACAACTCCTGATTTAATTCGCTATTGAATAGTTCCGTATTCTCTTCCATGATTGTGGAGAAAAAAGCACTGGTACACACTTCACTGAAGTTTTCCCTTCCTCTTTTTTATTTTTGATTCAGCTTCAAAAAAATGATCAATCGATTGCGATTTTCTTTTTCCACCATCGCATGTGTTATTATTAATGACGAGGTTATCACTCTCTTCTTGAGGGGAGAGTGGCGAGTAGTAATACTGTTTATAGGTATCTTCATCGAAGCTCAATGATTTCTGCAACAACACAGTTATCATGTTAATATCAATTTGTTAACACTTAATCATAAAAGTTAAAAAAGTTAAAGTTACAGCCTATTAAAGTCCACTGCTGAACATAGGCCTCCTTTCATTTCTGAGAGGGTTTTAGAGCAAGGAAATGTCCGCCGCGCTCCCTCAATGTGTGTTGGCGAACTTCACATGCCTTCGAAATTTTCTCAGACATGCAGGTTTCCTCACGATGTTTTCCTTCACCACCAAGCACGTGGTAATAAGCACTTAAAATTGCTATTAACAATTTAATTGGTGCTGGCGGGGATCGAACCCGGGTCGCGTACTGTGAAATTTACAGCTAGCGCTAACCATCTGAGTTACCACGGCTTAATCATATACATACACAATATTTAAATAAAATAATACACACACATGAAAATAACAGAAAAAAAGTAATTTAGTCAATAGAATAAACACTTACATCCATAGCCTTTGGTGTATTGAAGTAACACAAATGTACTATTGATAGATCCACTGTAGCCAAACGACCGTACACTAACTCGATGACTGCGTTTGTTGGTCTTATATACCACCAGTACGTAAAAATTCTAATCTAAAGTATTTCCGTAATGAGTTGATAATTACTTTATGCGTCAACCAGTTTATCTCACATTTCCGTTGCCTATCTCAACATTTCTTCGTATTGTGTTTTGTTTGGTGATCAATGACTCAAGTACGATATGTATATCACAAAAATGCAATTTAATATGTAGAAATCACTATAATTGACCATTCCTATGTTATTCATTGAGTAGCTAGGTACTGTAATAATCTACTAATAGCAGTAATATCATGGATACACTAGATGTACAACAACATCTGAAAAAGATTCACCCCAGTCTAGAAAATAATGTTTATGCAGCTAATAGACTGCCTATGTATACCCACGTACCAACGTATATAATATGTAATTTGGATACAGATGATAAACCAGGGTCACATTGGGTAGCTTTATATATCGATACGAATGACGTCGGTCAATATTTTGATTCATATGGACGATCACCTGTACGATATCATCTAGAGTTTTTAAAAAGGAATTGTAAAAGATGGAACTGGAATGTTGATAGGATTCAGAATGAGTGGACTTCAGTTTGTGGCGAATATTGCTTAATGTATTTACTATATAAGTTTCAAGGATGTTCAATACATAGTTTTACGAGTATATTTACAAGGAACACATTGTACAACGATATTTTAGTGGATGAGATGTTTCGCTCCTATTTTATAGATAATAATTAATAAGATTTTGTATTTTATAAATAAAAATTGTAACAAAATTATGTAATGTGTTTTATTGATGATTCAGATAAGCGTTGTATAAACAAAGAATTATAATAAACAATAGCACTGATATAGTCGACGCACACGCTGCAATGAAGGTGATTAAGGAACAATAGAACAATAGAAATAGGAACAACAATGGGACGCTAATGACGGTGGAGGCCCTTACCGGATATCAATTAGATATTAGCTAATTGATCTACACATCTCCGGAACCGTGCATTCTACACAAAAATGGACCGCGGATTCGTGATCAGAGCATGCCAAAACCTTTTTTTTTTTTTTTAGGATCGGGCGTCGACGAACGTCGTTGAACCACGTCTGACTCAGGTGGTTTAGAAGTGGTACAACTACACTACTTACAACATTCGATCGGATGTCATTGGAGGCGGAGTATCCATCTTTGTGCATAATAATCTAGCGCATGACCTAACTATGGAATCTTATATTGGCGGAAACAACTACTTGTGGATACATCTCAAAAAATATGTACTTGATGTAGGAATTGTGTACAAACCAGGCCACACGAATCTTAACAATTTTCTCAACACATATCAACTGCAACTGCAGTAAAAAAAAGAGCAATTGTCTTTGGCGATACAAATATAGATCTTTTAGTATCCGACTACGTTGTATAATGATCTAGTGAAGGAAACTGGTTTCAAATTAATTAACAAAATTGAAGTACTACACAGCACTCGTGTGTCACCAACGTCGAGAACTATTATAGATCATGTTGCCACAAATCTCAACGACCAAAAATTTCATATGGCTATCATTGAATCTTCATTTTCAGACCATAAAAATATCTACGTTGAAATGAAAAAAGTAAAACCACCACAAATGCAAAAGGTACGATATGAAGCTGTTAACTATGAAATTTTTTATAAGTGAACTAGAGATCATAAGTTCCAGAATCATGACTGTAATTTTGGCACTCTAGAAAAATTTATAAAGAAAAAAATATCAGAAAGTAAAGAAATAAAATGTAAAATTGTCAATCTACCTCAGAAAGAATGGTTTAGTAAAAAAATCATAATGGGGATTAAAAAAACGAATCAATTGTCGTATAAACTAAAGCAAGACCCAGAGAATAACGAACTAAAATCAGAATATATTGATGAAAAGACAAAAGTGGCGAGACTTATCAAGACTCCTGTCCGCGCCAAATGCTAATTTCAGGAAATAGCGCGAGAGGGCGCGCAGCTCGTTGTCATACCGGTTTGACATTCGGTCGTGCGTAAAACGCACAAGCGCAGTGAATCGTCTGTCAGCTGTGCTAACGATAGCACACTGTCATTTTTGTTCGGGAACCGCGGAATAGTTTACACGTCTAGTAAACATCCTGTCTGGGATTTATAACGCGAATTCCTTGTTGGATAGCCTTTTCCGGGACTTATTGGGTCCCACTCAGATCTGTATAAGTGCATTCGACAATATTAGCTAGTGCGGTCTTTGATATTCTAGAAATAACTGTTGCTACGCGAAACGGTAGTGACCTTTGACCTTCGTGTTCGTTTTGTGCGTTAATCTTATAACAAACGAGAGTTAGTGGCTTCTGTAAGTTAATTAATCGTATGATAGAGTTGATGGACTGTCATCGTGACGAACGAGGAAAGTGACTGTGGACAACGCCGCGGAAGGTTCCCTCAATTTGGAGCTGTGTCGACGCCCGGGCTGCTGCCGACGGCCAAGGTCTAGGGTCAATCACCATCAGTCACACCCAGATACACATCACATCACCTTATTTCCCTTGCACTACACAACCACATGCGACCTGACTGACTCCGGAGGGACTAGTCGCCTTGGATATACGTAAGTAACCTCCGTCTAATATCCTCTCGGTCGACTGGCCGTAGTATAGAACTCTCCCCCATATAGTTTAGTGTAATTAGAGAAATTTCACGTGGCCATATTGAGGCCCGACCTACGTCTGCTCGTGAAGTCTTCTGCTCATGGGCTCCAGAGGATTTGACCCTTTAAGGGAGCAGCCGTAGGCCGTAACAACTTCAAACAGCAGATATTATTACAGAGAGTTTGAAAAATGTATAAGTAAACCTAAAAAGATGTGGAAACTGATAAATACACTTTCTAAGAATAAACCAATTGTAAGTTGTGCTCCCCCAAATATTAAAACGGATAACGACCTAGTCATTAAAGATGCTATAGCTGTTTGTGAGTTATTCAATAAGTTTTTCTCAAATATTGGTACGCAACTTGCAAACAAAATACTGTCCCGTTATCATAACAACGATACACACACATTGCCAAAACTAAAATCTGATACAATCCAAATCTAATTGTCAGTCTTCAAACAATGTGATAAAAATGAGATAGCTAATATTGTCGATGGTCTGGAAACTAACACTAGCACAAGGATTGACTCCGTTAGTACAAAATCAATAAAGTGTGTAAAAAATCTAATTATTCTCAATCTCACTGGCTGTCTTAATAAATTACTGGTACAACGTATATTCCCAGATAGTCTTAAAGTAGCTAACGTCAATCCGATCTATAAATATGGTATGAAGACGGATCCAGGAAATTATCGGCCTGTGTTAGTTTTGCCAATGCTTTCAAAAATCCTGGAGAAAGTAATTTACAAATGACTGAATGACCACTTAACTGAAATAATTTTTTGTGTGATGAACAATATGGCTTCCGTTCAAAATAGAGTACTCTTAGTGCAGCTATTGACTTAACTACTAAAATAAAAACTAAAATAGACCAAAAACAGCTAGGACTGGGTGTATTCATTGACTTAAAAAAAGCCTTTGACACAATGAGTCACTCGTTGCTAATAAAAAAGTTGGAAAGTATTGGTATAACAGACACAGCACTCCAGATGTTAAAATCTTACCTTGAAAATAGATATCAGGTTGTAAGGATTGGAAATTATTAAATCAGTCCCCTACCTATAAACTGCGGAGTACCACAAGGTTCAATTCTTGGTCCGCTATTGTTTTTAGTGTATGTTAACAATATTTGTGAAGTAAGGTTACACGGCCATCTCATTTTGTATGCAGACGACACATGTTTGTTCTAATTTGGACAAAATATAGATGACCTTACTTTGCTTGCTCAACAAGATCTTGACACACTACATAGATGGTTTCAGTACAACCTATTAACAATTAATACCGCCAAAATATCTTACGTAATATTTAGTGCAAAAAACAAAAAAATCCAACACCACACAAAATTACACTATAATGGAGAAACGCTACGTCAATCTAATCAAGAAAAATACCTTGGACTATTTCTTGATAAACATCTGTCATGGAATGGTCATTTAGCAGTTATAAAAAATAAGCTTTCATCTCTAATAGGTTCTACATACGTTATGGCTCGATGTATACCAGCAAAAGCTCGCCTCTTGATCTATAACGCGTTGGTTAAACCACACTTACTTTACTTAATAGAGATATGGGGTACAGCAGACAAAACTTATCTCCAAAAG